CTGGAGTCCATGCAGTAGAGTGGGAAAAGCAGTTGGCTTGAAGTCAGAAGACTTCAAATCCTGGCCCTGTTTTAAGCTATGTGCCCTCGGGCAATGTATTACATCTAACCTCTCTGAGCCTCACTTTCTTTAACTGCAAAATGGGTCAAATTACCTTACATGGTAGTTATAAAGACTTGTAGGAGCTCAGGATTGTAACAGCACTTGAAACACAGAAGCTGCTCAATACATATGCTCAAAAACACATTCCTTTCACAAATGGGGCATCCTAGTGCCTTCCAGGTTAGAGAATGGGGTGTGCAGTACCGATGAATTTCCAGTAGATATGAACATACTGAACTGTGCTTGGGGCCTCGGAGAAGAGCTGGGAAGGGCTTATGCCCAGTTAATAAGGCATTTCCGTTGCTCCTTCCTCCCAAAAGTGGAAGTTAATGGACCAGTCAGGGCGGCTGTGAGACCACAAGAAAGAGCAGGGAGTTCCCTGCAGGATGTCTTCTCTGATCAACGAAGATTTTAGGAATGTATCTGAAGACCAGCCACATGACTGAGCAATTTCATTGTGAAAATGTAACTCCATAAGACTGGAACCCGATCTGTCTTCTTCACTCCCTGGAACGCTGCTGGGCACATAGTAGGTGTTCAGTAAACACTTGTGGATTGAATGACTGAATGATCTTTAGTTTCTCACCCGACAAAAAAGTCTGATGATTTCCAGATGTGGTGTGTGTGCATACTTTCTGAGTAAATGCTCTGAGGGCAGCATTGTGGCAACAGCCCAGGTGCCCCTTCCATGTCTCAGTGTGCCTCCATTGTTTTCCAGCGTCCCCTGTAGCTGTGCAATGCTTTGGCTGCATCACTTTCTCCCAAAGCAGTGCCTGCAAACCATGGCCCTCTTTTTGTAAATACAGCTTTATAGGAACATAATCATGTCCATTATCATAAGTGTCACTTGTGGCTGCTTTTGTGCTACCACTGCGGGATTGAGTAGTTGCAACAGAAAATGACTCTCTGGCCCTTTCAGAAAGTGTCTATTGATCCCATCCTAAAGAGATCAAATTAGACAAGGTTCATCCCCAGAAGGTGGTCATTCCTTCCCTGGGTTGGAGACTAGACTTACTGAGCACCAGGCCCTTTCATCTCTGAGGGGGCTCAGCAAGTCCCATCCCATGGAAAGACTTCACTGATTCCAAAGCTAGGGGGTTTTGCAAAAGTCTGCTCTATGCCCGCCATGGCACTAAGCGCCTTACCTTTATGCTCCCATCTACACCTCTCAGTAACGCCACAAAGAAAGAGCTACCTTATCCCTATTTTATAGATGAAGAAACGAAGGTCCAGAAAGGATAAATGACCAGCCTGAGGTCACACAGTTGGGGAGGTGGCAGAGCTGGGGCTCAACCCCAGGTCTGTTCTGAGTCCGAGTGCTGCTTTTAGGTGCTTCTCTAGGCTGCCTCCCCTTCCTGAAGGCTTAGCAGGAAGAAGCTTCAAGGTACTTGAGGCAAACAAACATGAAACACGTTTGTTCAGGTCCAACAGGTGATTGCTGCATAAAAACAATCCCTCAGTTGGGCATGATGGCTCACACCTGTGATCCCAGGGCTTTGGGTGGCTAAGGCAGGAGGATCGCTTGACCTCAGGAGTTCAAGACTTGACTGGGCAACATAGTGAGACCTCCATCTCTACAAAAAATTTAAAAATTAATTGGGCATGGTGGCAAGTGTCTATAGTCCCAGCTGCTTAGGAGGCTGAGGCAGGAGGATCAAGTGATCCTGGGAGGTTGAGGTTGCAGCAAGTCACAATTTTACCACTGCACTCCAGCCTGGGCAACAGAGTAAGACCCTGTGTCTTAAAACAAAAACAAAAACAAAAACAAAAACAAAAACCAATCCCTTGCCTAAAACATCAAAGGGCGGCTCTCTGGCAAGGGCCTTGTGTAGAAGCCTTTCCTTTTGGTAAAGAATCAGCCAACTAGAGAACCAGAATCTCAAGGTTCCCATGCAGGGCAGGGACTCTCTCCAGTGGTGTGTAACCTAACACGTGAGAAAGTGTCACCCAGGAAACAGAGAGACCAGATTAACTTGATAACATTTGAAACCCCCATCTGGGTGAGCACTAAAGCCTTTGTGTTTGGATTTAAAAACCAGAGATCCCAGGTAGGTTAGTTCCAGCTCCCCAGATAAAGACATATTACATGATTAGCCAGCCTCTTTTGTCCTTCTAAATTAAAAAAGATTAAGTATATTTTAGAGTATTCTCTCCTTTAAGACCAAATGTAGAAATTTATTTAATTTCACTTTGTCATGATAACAAAACTTTAGGGAAATAAGAGACAATATGTGGAAGGCCTGCAGTTGTTACAAAAAGAGCAAAATTGTTCCCTTTTGTTTGAAAATAAAGAGAAGATTACATGTCAGGGAAATTAATCTGATTACAAAGATGAACAGCAAACTCACCAGGTCACTTCCTGTTGACACAGGAAGAAAAGCTTCTGGCTTGTTTTCTGGGAATCTCTCCACAAAGTCAGAAGGTCAGTAATTCACACCAGGCGGTGGAGGGGAAGAGAGACGCCTGAGTCTCCTGAGTGATTTCGTGGTTTGGCTTGCCTGAACATTTCCGTTTTTGTTTTTTACCGTCTGTACAAACACTGTGAAGACTCCAGCAAAGTCCTCATGTGTGCTGCCTCCTTGGCGCTTGCTCCGGGATCAGGTAACCACCAACAAAATCCTCAGCACTGCACAGATATCCTGTTTAACCACCATGTCACCGTGGCCACAATGTCATCATAGCCACCTCCCATCCTCCCGCCCATGAGGATTTCTATTCCATCACCTTGTTTCACTCTTTTTCGTAGAAATCACTAACGAAAATTGACTGTTTACTTTTTCACTCTCTGCCCATCCCCTCCTCAACCAGTTCACACACCTGCCTCCTTCTCCCCACATCACCAATGCCTGGCTCACAGCAGAGCCTCTGTAAGTATTTGATGAATATTAATGGAGTGTTCATGAATAAGTTGACGTGTGCTTAAAATTTCACAAATGCTTTTAGTTTTTCACATCCAGTTTTTCCTTTCACATTGAGTTGGCTATGCTATCTAAGGAATCCTGGTGATAACGTGTCCAACTGTCACGTGAATAAAGTGGTTATTCATTTGTTCATTCCAGCCAACATAAATTTATTGAGTGCCTATCCAGTTCTGGGCACCTATGCCAAGGATTCAATGGTGATCGAAACAGAGGGCCTGCTCTTCCTGAGGGCCTGCTGTCCTGAGTTTTCAGTCTAACAGCTAAATAAGGAACATAGGAAACAATAGGGACAATGGGGAACAAATATTAATGAAATAGCAATACAGCTGTGACATTACGACCTCGATAAATGCTGTAATGAAGAAATGCATGCAGGGCTTCTGAGGAAGTAATGTTTGAGCTAAAAGATGGAAGATGCATTAACTAGGAGAGTTAACGAAATTAACTTGCTCAAGAGTGAGCAGCGTTCTAGTTAACAGATTTATGATTGTCATAAGGATTAGAGGAAGGACAGAGTAAGACTAGAGAAGAACTTTCTAGGAAAAGGGACTACAGCTAGGCGTGGTGGCTCACGCCTGTAATCCTAGTACTTTGGGAGCCGGAGGCGGGTGGATCACCTGAGGTCAGGAGTTTGAGACCAGCCTGGCCAAGATGGCAAAATCCCATTTCTACTAAAAATACAAAAATCAGCCAGGCGTGGTGGCAGGCACCTGTAGTCCCAGCTACTCAGGAGGCTGAGACAGGAGAATCACTTGAACCTGGGAGGCGGAGGTTGCAGTGAGCCAAGATCATGCCACTGCACTCCAGCCTGGATGACAGAGTAAGACTCTGTCTCAAAAAAATAAAAAAAGAAAAAGAAAAAGAGACTACTAACATGGGCATGTATTATGGTGATCAGGTGGATGGGGATGGTGCAGGGGATGGGGTGGGGGGAGTTGATGGCTGCCTAAAATAGAATGGATAAAAGAAAATAAGTTATTTAGGAGGTAAAATGGCAGGACCAGGACTTGGCCAGTCCTTCAAGGCTCGTCTGGTGACTGGGGCATTCTTCCGGGCTCGGACCTGTGAGGCCCTCCCAGGCTGGCAACTTGGCTTTCAGAAGTAGATGCAACCACTGACGCAGTCCTCGTGCCAAACAGGGATAGCAAATGGGGGAAGGGCTGGGCAGGGGGCATGGGTGAGCACGTCCTCCGCTGGCAGCAGCATTTCAAAATCTGGATTTATGGCTCAGGTCCGGAGGATTCCTGGAACCCAGGCATAGATTACTGTGGGCAGTCAGTTGTTTACAGGAGATCAAGATCATGCCTATTAAGGAGATCAATTGTGTCCACAAGAACCCACACTTAATAGGTAATTGCTGCTTAATAGAACTCTACCTGCAACCAGCATAACTAAATAAGGAACATAGGAAACAATTGTCCCGAAATATGAACACCATGTTGTTTTTTCCTCCCCTTGATCAAAGAAAGACTCCAATGAAAGGGGAAAAATAATTAAAAAGTAAAAGCCTTATGTAATGAGGTTTAAAAGAAAACTTTTGAAGGCAACAAGCAACTGTGGGCAACACTTCAAAGGGCCCAGAATCAATGTTTGTCAATAGCAGTTTTGCATCCTTTAATTTATCTCTCACGAATATAAAGTGTGATGTTATTAGGAACCCATCCATGCCTTAATTCTGTTTGCGATTTGATGAACCAGAAGTCTATTAACATTCTGTACAAACGGCACTGGCAGAGGCCTGTGGCACAGGCTTCACCTGATCTTTTATCCTGAGGCTGGGATGCTAGTTACACTGTCAGGCTTTCTGCACCGAACACCCAGCAGCTGCCGTGTGCACCGTGGAGCCGGGGGCTCTTTATGTCAGCTACTTTCTTTGGAGAGTTTCTCCCCAGAAGAGAAACCACCTCATGACTCAGCCCAGCCCCAAAGTTGCCATTTGTTTAATCAAGATAGTTGGTTTGCAAAACATTAAACATTAAACAGTATTTGATGCCTAGTTAATAATTTGCATCCTCTTCATTTGTTCCTGAATCCTTGGAGACTGACATTTTTCCCCCCTAAAGGCATAGACAACAAAAGAAATTTTATTGAGAGCAAAACACAAGTCCTTAAACTACAAAGATGTTTGCCAGGACGTCTGATCTCCATGTTCTACTGTTAATGGCTCTGGTGGGAAAGACAGCCTGTGGGGTAAGTGTTCTTTTCTAATAACTGTAGTTGAGAGACTCTGAAGTTTACTAGGAGGACAAGGCTAGGCTGGGAGTGATGAGAAACTTCAGAGTGAAAGGCTGGAGTTGCCAAGTTGGAGATGTTCTAACTACAAGAATCAGTGCAGGTCTGTGGCTTGGTTTCTTTTGAACAGCCACTCCCATGGGAACATGTGTCTGACTTGAGCCACCTTGGAGCAGAGACTCGATGAATGCATTCCAGCAAAGGAGACTGGGGCAAGAAAATGTGCCCCAGGGCATGTGCTGTAACCTGTCGTGGATCTCATAGACCCCTTTGAGAAGCCATGGAAAGCTATAAACTCTCTCCCCAGGAAAATATACCTATCTATCGGTGTTGACACACACAGCTTTCCAGCGATTTGGGGCTGACACTACGGTAAGAACCAATGCACTGTGGCCTTAGAGGGGACGCCTGCTGACTGCAAACGATCCTGGAAATGGGTCTGCATAAATCGTTTGGATTTGGGGAGAAGCTTTGTGTTTAGTACTTTGTCTCCTTTTTCCCATGACAGCAGTGGATGAGGCAGAGAGGGTGAGCAGGGGCCCAAGGGAGGTTGCAGTGAGCAGGGAAGGGAAGTCCCGTCAGAGAGTGTTGAATGGAGGACTCAGGACCTTAGGGAGCCGATGACTTGTCAAGATGTTAGTTCCTTCTGCGTGCCGTGGTCCAAGAGTGTCTGATGGATCTCTGCGGGCATGTGAAAGAGGGCCTTGCACAGAAATAGAGTCTCCTGGGCGTTCCGTGCTGGTTGTAGTCTGAGGCATGAATGTAGGCTTTGGGGCCAGGGTTTGAATCTCAGCTTTGCCACATTCTAGCTGTGGAATGTTGGGCAAGGAACATAATCTGTCTGAGCCTCAGTGTTGTCTTCTGCAGATCAAGTGCTAACCTCTCATAGATTTGGGGAGGGCTGCAATTAAACAAGGTCATGTATGTGGCTTGCAAATAAATGTGAGCTCTACTCCCTTAAAATGTCAAGTATGAACACAACTTCTCTATAAAAATCAGGGAGTGCTCCGCCTTGTTGGGGAGGGGCGCTAGAAAGCGGGCAGAGGATGAGAACTGAAATAGCAGTCATAACCTCTCTGTCTTATTGAGTACCTTTGCATTTTGTTCCCCATTTCACTCCACAGAGCATTTCCTGAAGGAAGCAGATTAAGTTACAGGTTTTCTGATTAGCATGTTTTTAAAACAATAGCTTCTCCTTTCTTTTCCGTCAACTGTGCTCAGACACCTATCTTAGCTCTGCATTAAGTTGCCAAGTGACTCACTTCTGAAAGGGTTTTCTTTTCAAATCATGACTTGTGTGTGTGTGGTGGCTGCAATTACAAATTGTTGTCAAGCCCCTACATCATTTGATGGCTTGTTGGGTGTCTGAGGCCGAGACACAGCAGAAATACCACAGGTCTAGAGAAAGGCAGGAGAAATCATCGGAGGCCCACACGGGGCCCAGAGAACATACCAGTCGGAAAGAATTAGATCCTAAACTTTGCAGGCAAGGAGAAACGTTGACACAGTCTGTTTGAAGTTCACAAAAGGATAATGGTCCCGAAAAATCCCTTTTTTGCAAACCCTAGTGAATTTTTAGGGTTAGCAATGAAATTATAAGTCAATAATGGATAAAAGAGAAAATATGAGAGTTAGCCTTCAGGCAATGAGCTTAGTCAATTCCAAAGAGAGGATTCGGGGCTTTGGAATGCTTTCTTACCCCAGATGTGTGCCAGACAGGTGGTCGGAAAGGCGGCTTGTGTTCCACAGGCCGGCACACAGACATCGGGGGAGAGTGGCCAAGTCGTTCAGATGCTTTGGAGAGTTCGGGGCATCATGAGGGGTAAAGAAGCCACATAGCCAGCTGGGCTGGGTGGCCTCTCCAGCCCCACACAGCTAAAAGTCATAACTAACTGCTACCATTTAATGAGGAGTCCTGAGTGCTAGCCCCTGAACTTTCCATGAATTAGTTCATCTCTGGAAGGACCCCAAGAAGTAATTCCTACTATGCTCCCATTTTACAGAAATGAAGCTGGAAAACTGGGCCAGTCCCAAGTCATATAGCTGATGAGTGGCAGAGCTGAGCTCTAGATTACAGACTGGTTCCCATGTAGCCAGTCTCTTGTCTGGGGCCCTGGGTGAGGATGAGATTTCTTTGGCTCATACAGCTTCAGGGGCATGGCTTTCTCTGTAGCGAAAGGAGGCTCTTAGACCAGGCACATGTTTGCTGGGTGAAGCGTAATGGACTCCATGTGTCTCCGAAACTCCAAAGAAAGGCAGCTGCAAGATCTGTGGTCACTATTCATTGGAAAGATGCCCAGGTACTCTCCCGTGAATTCAGATCATGTAGCAAATGAGGACTGTTCTTTGGAATCACCTGTCATGGAGATTTTTATTCTGATATCCACTAGCCCAAGAGATACAGGTCAAAAATCATTGCTGTGAACTCCAGGGCATCATTCATGGTGTCTTGCTGTTCTAGTCGAGATTTGGTGTTTCTAACCTATCATTTTTGAGCACCTGTCCAGCACAGCCTCATATCATTATCCCTGTCTTATGGATAAGATACAAACCCAGAGATGTTAAACTAACTTTCCGGCCAGGATTGGGGCCAGAACTGTCTGACTCCACGTTCATCACAGGAGGCCTGCTAAACTGTAAATAAGGCATGGACTGTCTTAGAAATCTCTTCTTGCTAGGATTCTTCGAGTGATTTGGGGCCCAGCTGGGCTCAGCCATAATGGAATTTGACCTCTCCAAACCCAGAAACCAGAGGACAATGCTTGTCAAGCTTGCCTGCTTACTCAGCCCATCCCTAGAAAGGAGGAAAGACAAAGGCTTCTCTCCCCTGCCAAGGAGGTGCTTTCAATTAAAACAATGTTTACATTTCTGGGCTTTTGAAACCCTAGAAGTCTAGAATCTTCCCAGGTATAGAGCCACAGAAAAGTCTGCCTAGGTCAGAAGTTGCAAATTGGCAGCTTGAAATACACTTTGCTCACAGCTCAAGTTTAATTTGGTGGGTAGAAGATTGGCTCAAAGAGAATTTTAGTTTTATTTTCATTGCTTGGCCACATTTGAAAATCGGAACACAGAACATTTCCCATAAAGATACAGATTCCCAGCTTTTCTTGAAAATCAGACATCTGAGTAGCACTGGGTTCCCATTCTTGGCTGGCACCATGGAGAGGGCTTGCCACTGCTGCTGTTATTAGAAGTTTGAGGCCAGGCGTGCTAGCTCATGCCTGAATCCCAGCACTTTGGGAGGCCAGGGTGGGAGGATTGCTTGAGGCCAGGAGTTTGAGACTAGCAACATAGCAAGACCCTGTCTCTACCAAAAAAAAAATTTTTTTAATTAAGCAGGTATGGTGGTACATGTCTGTAGTCTCAGCTACTTGGGAGGCTGAGGCAGAAGCATCACTTGAGCCCAGGAGGTGGAGACTGCAATGAGGAGAGAAGGTGCCATTGCATCCTCTCTCAGAAAGAAAGAAAGAAAGAAAGAAAGAAAGAAAGAAAGAAAGAAAGAAAGAAAGAAAGAAAGAAAGAAAGAAAGAAAGAAAGCTGAG